CCCTTGCCATAGGGGTGTCAAATATTTTAGTTCCTATTTCCAGGTTTATTGGAAGGGTCTCTCCTTGAAGCTTGCAAAAGTGGAACACACCATTTAAGCAGGCTTTTCAGAGTTTCTCCACATCCTAGAATATTTTTTCTTTATTCACTAAAGACCCATTTGGGAGTTTGTGGTAGGGCCCATGATAACAAAATAAAATTTAGGCAGGCTTTGCATCCAAAGACCTAGGTGACTTTGGGTAATTCATTAGTGTCTTCCAGCCTCTATTTCCTGAGGTATGAGAGAGGTGTAAAAATTGTTCTGGAGGGTGGTGCTGAGTATAAAAAAGAAGAAATGAGATAACTATGTAAAATGCATTAGTTTGGTATCAAGCAATATACGGAGGGACAGTGAGTAGAATCTATTATGTTTCTTTTATTCCTACTGCTTTGGACTGAATGTGTAATCCCAAAATTCATATGTTGAAATCTAGTCCCCAGTGTGATGATATTTGGAGGTGAGGCCTTGGGGAGATAACTAGGTTCAGATGAGTAGAGCCCCTATCATGGGATTAATGCCCTTATTTTTTTAAAAAAGGAAGAGATGTGAATGTGATTCTCTCACTCTTTCTCTCTCTCTTTCTATCATTCTTTCTCTCTCTCTTTCTCTGTCTCTCTCTTTCTCCCCTACTCCATGCACCTATGAAGGAAAGGCCATGTGAGGACAGAAGGTAAAACCAGAGAGAGAGCTCTCACCAAGAACCTGACCTTGCTAGCACCCTGATCTCACACATCCCAGCCTCCAGAACTGTGACAAATAAATGTTTGCCGTTTAAGCCACCCAGTCTGTGGTATTTCATTATAGCAGCCCAAACTAAGACAGCTACTATTAAGTATTCTTTTCCTTCTCCCCCATCCTTATGGCACATGCTACCAGTGTCTGGAGCACCTAAATATTAAATACTAGCTGGTAACTCTCCCTTCACAGAAGACAACAGGGTGACACTGAATTGGTCTTAACCAGGGGAAATCTTTTGCCCGGAGAGAAAATAAAGTCTGCCAGCAGAGAGCTGGTAGCCTCCCTTACAGGGCTTTAGCAAAAACCTGATTCCCATGGGTAAAATGAGTAATTGCTACAGGGAAACAGATCATGTGAATTTATATAGCAAGAGATGTTTTATGGGATTAAGTGGGTGATGAAAAGTAATCATTATAATAATTTTATAACCTAAACATAAAAGAGGAGAGCAGAGAAAGACAAGTTCTCTTGTGAAATATTTTGCCATTTAATATCTTTTTATTTTCGGGCAAGTTGTCTTATTTTTCTTTAAATAAGCAATAACTAGACACAAATATTTAAGAAAAGGTATGGATGTTAGATGTTATATGGCACACTCTTCCTTTCACTTAAGGGAAAACCAGGACCAGAAGGGCAGGTGAACTTGTCAAGGTCAGGCGCTACCAGTTGTTTTGACGACCCCTGGCGAGGTTGTCCCATGACACACACATTGCCTCTCTCCTGAAAGTGAGGTTAAGTGTTGCCCAGCCAAATTCTTGAAATAAGCTCAGCTCTAAATGCCTGTAGCAGCCACCTTCTTTTTTATTATTTAGAACATGTTCGTCTGAACTTGTTATCAGAAGACACAGACCAGGAGAGAAGGAATATATTTTTCCCATGTCAGGAAGCCAGAGGTAATATAACATTGATGTTCTAGAGAAAGGTCAAATAATAAATTGCCATGAAATACAGACTGCTCATGGCCATTTCTGAAATCTTGGCTTCTCAGCAAAGAACCAAAGGCAGAGAGGGGAGGTAAAAATCCATAACCGTGTGCTTTTCGTGTAGGCATGTTGGATTGCATGTACATATGACTGGATCATAGAAGTGATCAAAGAAATATATACTGTTTCTCAACAGAAGGGGATAAAGAAGGAAATCACCAAACAAGTAACATGTGCAACGTTTGGGGGATGGACACGCTTGAAGCTCTTACTGGGGAGGGGGGGGATGGGCAATATATGTAACCTTAACACTTGTACCTCCATAATGCACTAAAATAATAAAAAAGAAAATTTAGAGACGCCAAAAGAAAGTTACAAACAACTATAATCTTGCCCTCGGTGCACAATAAAAACTGATAAAAAAAATTAAAAATAAATTTTAAAAAAGAAGGAAATCAACATTTGTTGAAATTTCCTTGGCCCTGGCAGTGTTTACGAATAACAGTTAGGATTTGAACTCAGATTCAGTTGAGTTCAAAGCCTGGGATATTTCCCAATAAGTCACAGAAATTTCCCAGCATCAACCTATTCCTGGCATCTCTAACAGCAAGAGTGATTACAGTTCCATGGACAGGAATTGCGTACAGGATTGGGGGAAAGAACCGTAGCTCCTACGTGCTTGGCACCCAGGCTGTGAGTACATGGACTATCCCAGGCACACTAGTCATCACAGATGCCTGATAAGGGAAGGTATCTTTTAACAGACAAAAATCTGCAGGCATCTTCATCATACCTTAATGTAGACAGACTAAACTTATTGGCTACACTAATAATTAAGGTCAGACCTCATTATGGAAAACCTAAATGTGTATTAAGATAAGAGAGAGGACAAGCTTGCCTGAACACAGACTGTAAACAGTCAAGAGAGAGGTCCAGGGAGAGGGAATTCTCCTTAACGTGGCAAAGCAAATATTTCAAGACTAAAGTTTTGATGACACATTTGATGGAACAGAACCAGTTTCCATGTTATGAAAGTAATAAAGAAATAGCTCTCTCTTTTTTTTTTTAAAGAAAAATAACAATCCAAGATTCATACACATTCTTCCATCTTATAAAATCACTGGATTCTAACTGTTTTTGTCCATTTTCCTTTCTCTGAGAAAAGGTATGTGCCTCCACAGAACACATTCACTAGGAGTCCAGAAGTGGAATGTATTCTGTTCTCACTGTTTATCAATACTTAGTAGTTCTGAGCCCAGCCAAGTAGGAGTTTTTTAAAATTAAAACATTTGAGGCAAAACCATTGACAAAGGTTCCTTCACCTGCCGCCTCCTGGTCCACTGGCAGGACCTGAGGGGGAACACGCTCTTCTTGGCCAGAGACCCTGGAGCTCCAGCCTGTCCTTCCATCTTCTCCAGTATCCCTCCTCCATAGAGGGTCATCAGGGCAGTCACGCTTGCTGGCCATTTAGGTGACATTTCCCATTTGTAATAAGGTGCCTTGGGATGCCTACTCCATTCCCCAGAACCTGTGCTCTTATCTGTGAAATTGGGGATAATAAAGCCTATTTCATAAACCTAATCTTGCCTATTAAATAGGATAACGTATGTAGAGCCCATAGCACACACTATGACCCCAAACACAGATTCACAGCTCCGTGTTCCTTGATGCTAAAGTTCTACTTCTGTTCTGCTGATTCTCCCTCAGGCTACTTGGACACCTTGACTTTCAGACCCTGGATTCTGAGTCTCAAGGGAAGGCTAAGTTTCCTGGGGCCAGGCTCTAGGTGCCTTGTATTGGTACAAGCTAATCTCCTACATTCCGAGCTGGTTGTTCCCTTCTCCCCATCTCCCAGAGTCTCTTGCATTAGTCTCACTCCCCAAGTTCCTTCCAAGGTCAGATTTATGGTTCTGTTTTTCAGCACCTGCTCTTAATTAATTCAAACTTTTCTAGGTTTTCTTTCAGGCCATATTTTATTTGTTTTCTCAGACACTTCTCTTTGACTGCCTCCTTTATCCTCAAACACCTGGGATCCATATTGATTCTTCTATTTTCCATAATTTCTAACCCCAAACAACTGTGTGAATATAAGTGAGCTTCTAAACATAGGTGGGTGGGAGGTTGGGATGCATATGTGTTATTCATTCATTCACTCATTTCTTATTCATAAACTGTTCATTGAACACCTAGTACTTGACATTTCTTAACGCTCAGGGGATATGCATATCAATACAAAAGAATTCCATTCCAAGAAACTTAATCATGGGAAAGATAAACACAAAACTTAATGCAACACATTGTAAGGTTTCCAATAAAGCAATGGCTCTCAGCGTTGATTGCACATTAGAATCACCTGGGTGCACTAACTAGCAATGCCTCGCCCCAACCCAGACCAATGGAATAAAAAAATCTCTGTAAGTAGGGCTTGGGCATCAGTGTGTTTTGATAGATAGCTTTCTAGGTGATTCCATTCTGCAGCCAGGTTTGAGAATCTCGTGGATAGAGGGAAGCATGAAATGCTTTGGAACCACAAAGAGGAGGTCCCTACCCTGACTGATAAAGAACCAAAGGCTACCAAGGGCAGATGATACCTGAGCTGAATCTTGACAAATGAGTAAGCCAGGTGGAGATGTGGGAAAGCTATTCCAAGCAAGAAAGAGTGAGATGAGTTCGTAGAACTGCAAGTAAATCCAGATAGAGTTTAGAGAATGCTAAAGCATTTGGGCTTAATATGCTAGGCAAAGGAGAGTCATTGAAGGATTTCATTGCAGGGAAATAATATTATCAGTCTTATGTACATCAGAAGTACCAAGACATCAAGTGGGGAGCAAATTTTACTTTCATCACAGCTTATCCCAGCAAGAACTATCTCCCCTTTAATAAAACCTTCAAAACTGTTGGCACCTCCCTGGTTTCAAACATTACAAACAGGAAACTCTACCCATGGGCTAACCTTCACCCTATCCTTTCCTGGAACAAAGAACATCTGTTCTCCTGTTTGGATTTATCTGGAGTAAAGAGGGGCCCTCGGTATTCTCAGCTGACTGCAGAGAAGTGATTTGGCATCACATGGATTAGTCCTAGGTGCATGCACATGATTGCATAGTCAAATGTATCGAGACATTTTAGTCCTAAAAAATAAGTATTCTGTCTCTGATACAGTGTTGTCACCATCGGCAGGGGAAACCCAGGGATTGTAGTGGCTACAGAGAAAATGTAACTTATTCCCTAGAAGAGGGCCTGAAATCAAAAGAAATTAAGCAGTAATGACACTTTAAATGCTCTTCCTCTCATTTTCAGCATGCAAACTCACTCACACATCAACCGAGCCTTTGGAACAGCTTTAGCTATTGTTTGTGATGGTGGTGGTCATGTTTATGTTTGAGTTTTGTTTTTTGCTTTAAGTCTAAGACACATTATCAATTTAATAACCAACTCTACAGGGAAAAAAGGACCAAAACATGGATGAGGGGGAGAAAGAGAAAGAAAATAATTAAATTTAATGAATATTTTAATTGTAAAACAATCTGATTTCAAAAATGTTGAAATACATCTGCAGGGGTAGGGATGGGAAAGTTATGCTCTGTAATTAAAAATTCCCAGGAGAGAAATAATAGTTTTGGGAGTTTTTGTTTGTTTGTTTGTTTGTTTTTGGTGTTTTTTTAGAGGTACTAGGAATTTTATAGTCTGTGGTATCCAAAGCTGTATTTTTGAACAAAGAAATCTGAGGCCCAGGTAGATTGAGAAACTTGCTTCAGGTTCTCAAGGGAGTTAGTTGGTAGTGAAGCTGGAATCAAATCTCATTTCTCAGCCTCCAGTTTGGTTTGCTTTCCATGATACCAGAGTATTCTATCTAATGTCCGAGAAGATAAAAAACATCCCATCGTTTTCACTGGTATGTATGGCTAGGGGACCTATTCAGAGAAATAAAGTATATGAATAAAAATTATCCATCATAGCTAAGTACATTTTAGTAGAGAAATAAGTAAAAGATTGTGGTGCTCCAGGTCTCAATGCATTTTCTTTTGCTAATTTATTCAATGGATGTTATCTTGAGTAGGTGATTCGCATATCAACTTGCATTTTGGTGTGTCCAAATGACTGGTTGCTCATTGGTTCCTAAGGCTAATTATTATTTTTAACACTTTTTGATATGCTAAGTAAGGCTAATGAGAGTGCAGGAGGATTTCTCATGTGTTTATTAGTCATCACCATCATCTCACATATGTATATATATATTTTAATGCTTTCAAAGTGTCAATAAATTACTATATTTGAGCCACATAAGAATATCATAAAGAGGCTTTTTCTTTCATATTCCTCCCAGGAAATAAATATTTGGTGGGCAGAGTCGTGGTGAAAGATATGGTATCAGACCATGTAGTTTCAAATCCTTCTTTTGTTGTTTGCCACCTGTGTGACCTTGAATATGTTACCCGATCCCTTTGTGCCTCAGTTGCCCCCTCTGTTATATAAAGTGATAGGATTAGGCATCTCATGTGCCTGTGTTTAGGATTAAGTGGGATGATTTGTATAAAGTGCTTAGCAAGTCACCTGGCCTATTCTGACTCTCTAATATTGTTAGCTAGAATATTTATCCATTCATAAATTATGTATTGATTTGCCTATAATAACTAAACTTGATGAAGGCTTATTATGTGCCAAGTACCATTCTAAGCACTTCACATGCATTTAATTTTTATAATGACTCTTTGAAGTAAGAACTATTATTACCACTTCTGTTTTACAGATGAGGAAATTGAGACACAGTCACTTGTTCATGAATCTCGCAGCTGGCAGGTGGTAGAGTCAGGACTCATATTCAGAAAGTCTGGCTCTAGGTTCTGCTGTCTCCCGAGCTGAGGTAGGCATTGGGGCAAGAGCAACGAGACCCACACAGTTCTTGCCCACTAAAAATCAACACAGGGGATGATCCCTAAAAGCGAAGTAAGTCCTCTGCAAAATGATGGCGCAGAGGCAAGAGTTTTGAACTCTTCCTATGAGCTTGGGGAAGTATCAGTTACTCCCAGCTTTCCTGTTGTTTAGATCTGTTTTCTGTTTTCTCTATGGTCCATGCACATTCTCTGAGTGAAGAATGAATGACAGGGTTACCAATCTTCTGGCTTTTTCCTAATCTTCTTGCTACCCTATGCTGAAAACCAGCACTGAGATTCCACATCCCTTATATACAGGTCCTGTCATTTTCATGATAACTTCTCTAAGGCTCTAAGTTTCCTTTCTGTGGGTTGTCAGGCAAATACATTCTTGGCATTCAGCAAGAACTCTTTGTTCAAAATGCCACACATTACAAAGCCGATGAGTCAACACACATTTTTCGAGTGCATCCAACCTATACACTATAGTGCTAGAAACCAATTCACACTCCTTTTATGCTACAGTGCCATCTTTCCCAAGGGTGGGGCCCGCTTTTCTTCAGTGTCTACTTTCTCATACGTATGTTATGATTTCTGCTTTTGCAAAACAGGACATTGTTCAACCAAGTCCTTACGGGAGGAAGTTCAGCCCAGCGAGCAGAACAATGATTTGAAAGTCCTGGGTTCTATTTTCAGCTCCACTGTTGACTAGCCGTGCATTCAGCCCTAGGAAGGTCAAAAGTAGAATGGCCTTGCACTGACGACTTTCTCTGTATGTACAGCTCTGGATGGAAAACAAATCATGCATCTGGCTCTCAGCCTTGAGGAGCTATGGTCTTTGGAGAATAGATGTGTAGTCAAATTTTGTATTCATTTTTAAAGCAAAAGAACAAAACAAACTCTTCTGGGGGAGAATGGGCTGGTAGAGAATGGAAGAGAGAAACCTAATAACCTTTTAAACAATCCAGGGGTTAAGGGATTGCTTGAGTCATTCAGATCAAAGAAGGCTCTTTGGCACAAGTTGGAGTCTCCTGCTTTTGCAAACGGAGGAGGCAAAGGGAGCTAAGCTTTGAGAGACTCCTTCAAACTTGGACAATAGCAGATATCCATGACTACCTGTAGGGGCCAGGCTAGAAACTCAGGCGGGCGAGGCCTATGGGCAACTGGGAAGCTCAGCCCCCCTGCGAAGTGGTCTGCTGCTACCTGCGCCAGACGTTTGTCATAGGGAGAAGCAGGCTACTGTTGCCAGAACAGCTGAGTTTTCAAGAGAAAATGAACCTTTAGATTTTTGTCATTAGAACTCCTGATTTTTTTTAAGTGATGGAATCTAATCCAACTTTTAAAGAGGCACTGAGCAGGCAAAACCAAACACGTAGCCTGAGCAATGCATGGGCCATGTCTCTTCTACATGTAGATGAGGGGAGGTTTCATAAGGGCTTTCATTATATGTTCTGCTATGAATGAATAGAAGCTAGGTTCCAGGCAAGAGGATTAGCAGTGACTCTCAACCCTGGCTGCACCTGGGAGTTTTAAAAAATACTCACACCTGGGTGCAAACATAAAGATTCTGATTTAATGAGAGTGGGCTGCAGCCCAATTACTGGGATTTTGTAAATGCTCCTCAAGTGATTTTGGCACACACCATGATTAAGAGCCACTGTGCTAGGTAGGGTATGGTGAGAAAGTTTAAAAATTTCAGGCCAGGAACAGTGACTCATGCCTGTAAGCCTAGCATTCTGGGAGGCTGAGGTGGCCTCGATTGTTTGAGTTTAGGAGTTTGAGACCAGCCTGAGCAAGAGTGGGACCCCAACTTTACTAAAAATAGAAAAATTAACTAGGCATGGTGGCTCCTGCCTGTAGTCCCAGCTACTCAGGAGGTTGAGGCAGGAGGACCACTTGAGCCCAGGAATTTGAGGTTACAGTGAGCTATGATTAGGTCACTGCACCCTACCCAGGGTGAGAGAGCAAAACCCTGTCTAAAACAAACAAACAAACAAACAAACAAAAATTCAGAAAGTTGTGTGAATTTGATGAGATGCACAGCTAATCCCTGAACATGGATCAGAGAATTGACATTCAGTATAAACCGGCTTTTGCATTTCTTTAACTGGGACTCTTAACTCTCTCTAGCATCATTGCTGATGGCCTTAATATCTCTGGGCTCATTAGGAATCGGCTGACAACAGACACTCACTGGGCAAAACAAGGTTATTGTTGTAAAGGTCAAACACAACGAAAGCCAAAGGATGAGTGCAAGCCTAAGCACAAATAAGTATTTATAAGGGAAATTAATTTGTTGTCTGATGGCCATGAAACAAAGTGAGCAGTAGAGCAAAGGGAGCCATTTACAAGTGCAATTCAATCTCTGTCCACATTCTAATGGCTGTAAAACTCCCCATGAAGCTAATAAATGGTGCATAAAACTAATACTTTCGGTTTTTTTCTTCCTTATTTTGTAAGACGTATACATTATAAATAACACGATTAAGTCTCAGTGGTTGTATCCATGACTAGTTCTTATTTCAGCTTTGATTCCTCTGGCTCTTTGCTATATTTCTCATAAAAAATGTTAAGTGTGGATTAAGTATATTGAATCACATACGATGGAATGTTAAACGGGGCATTCCCTCTTGTCTGGATATGTGGGAAGAGACCCGATACAACTGGCGCTGAGGAACCCCACCTTCTAAGGCCAGGTGGTAGCTCAGGTGTAAAGGGGCTGCTAAGAGGTTATGAAAGTGGTTCAACCCAGGTCATCACAGCGGCAACTTGCAGCCTGTCAAGATAGACTTTAAGGAAGTTGGCACTGAGGATTTTTATGGAGGGTGTTGTCAGTTTAGTAATCATCCTCATCCTCTCACCCCGTTCCAGGTATGTGTGTTCCTTCCTTAACGCAAGCCAAATGAGAGACGCTTCAGTGGGACCACTCAGAGAGCCTGCTATGTGTCTTCTGCACTTTAAGGGACGTAGGGGACTGAGGGCTGATGAATGGCTGAAAACGCTATGACTAGTGCTGCCTTTGGGTGGCTGGGACAGCTATATTGTGAATAAGCAGCACTTCCAAAATTTGGTGGGGCAAATAAGGACCCTGTTCAAAAAAGACAGATTGAGTCATCTTGAAAGAAATTGCCTGGAAGCGTGTCACGACTCCACTGGGGATGTACCATTGGGAGACAAGAGAATAAAGAAGTCACAAGTGGCTAGCCTGCGGAGGCATAACGGGAGCCAGGAGGACAGATACTGAGAGAGATGCCTGGCAACGTAGGGAAAGAGGTATCTTTAAAAAACTCAACAAAATGCCCTAGGAGAGACAAGTCAGTTGGGATATTCACTACACTCAGAGGATTGCAATGACAGAGTATAATAGCACCAGCCAAGTTAAAACTTCTTGCTCCCCTTTACTCCCTTCCCCTTGCTCCTCCTACCTCCCTCTATCTTTGTGGAGGCCAGAAATCGCAGCTAGGAAAGGAGGAGGAGATGGAGAGGATGAGGAAACCAACCTGCCCCCTCC